AGTGATATAAAGATCTATATAGAGGAATCAGGACCTTCTTCCTCCTGCTGGTGACCCCTCTAGTGATATAAAGATCTATATAGAGGAATCAGGACCTCCTTCCTCCTGCCGGTGACCCCTCTAATGATATAAAGATCTATATAGAGGAATCAGGACCTCCTTTCTCCTGCCGGTGACCCCTCTAGTGATATAAAGACCTATATAGAGGAATCAGGACCTCATTCCTTCTACTGATGACCCCTCTAGTGATATAAAGATCAATGTAGAGGAATCAGGACCTCCTTCCTCCTAAACTATATAGAGGAATCAGGACCTCCTTCCTCCTGCCGGTGACCCCTCTAATGATATAAAGATCTATATAGAGGAATCAGGACCTCCTTCCTCCTGCCCGTGACCCCTCTAGTGATATAAAGATCTATATAGAGGAATCGGGACCTCCTTCCTCCCGCCGGTGACCCCTCTAGTGATATAAAGGTCTATATAGAGGAATCGGGACCTCCTTCCTCCTGCCGGTGACCCCTCTAGTGATAGAAAGATTTATATAGAGGAATCGGGATCTCCTTCCTCCTGCTGGTGACCCCTCTAGTGATATAAAGATCTATATAGAGGAATCGGGATCTCCTTCCTCCTGCCAGTGACCCCTCTAGTGATATAAACATCTATATAGAGGAATCAGGACCTCCTTCCTCCTGCCGGTGACCCCTCTAGTGATATAAACATCTATATAGAGGAATCGGGACCTCCTTCCTCCTGCCGGTGACCCCTCTAGTGATCTATATAGAGGAATCGGGATCTCCTTCCTCCTGCTGGTGATCCCTCTAGTGATATAAAGATCTATATAGAGGAATCAGAACCTCCTTCCTCCTGCTGGTCTCCCCTCTAGTGATATAAAGACCTATATAGAGGAATCAGGACCTCCTTCCTCCTGCCGGTGACCCCACTAGTGATATAAAGATCTATACAGAGGAATCAGAACCTCCTTCCTCCTGCTGGTCTCCCCTCTAGTGATATAAAGACCTATATAGAGGAATCAGGACCTCCTTCCTCCTGCTGGTGACACCTCTAGTGATATAAAGACCTATATAGAGGAATCAGGACCTCCTTCCTCCTGCCGGTGACCCCACTAGTGATATAAAGATCTATATAGAGGAATCAGAACCTCCTTCCTCCTGCTGGTCTCCCCTCTAGTGATATAAAGACCTATATAGAGGAATCAGGACCTCCTTTCTCCTGCCGGTGACCCCTCTAGTGATATAAAGATCTATATAGAGGAATCAGGACCTCCTTCCTCCTGCCGGTGACCCCTCTAGTGATATAAAGATCTATATAGGGGAATCAGGACCTCCTTCTCCTGCTGGTGATCCCTCAAGTGATATAAAGATCTATATAGAGGAATCAGGACCTCCTTCCTCCTGCTGGGGACCCCTCTAGTGATATAAAGATCTATATAGAGGAATCAGGACCTCCTTCCTCCTGATCTATATAGAGGAATCAGGACCTCCTTCCTCCTGATGGTGACCCCTCTAGTGAAATAAAGATCTGTTTAGAGGAATCAGGACCTCCTTCCTCCCGCTGGTGACCCCTCTAGTGATATAAAGATCTATATAGAGGAATCGTAACCTCCTTCCTCCTGCCGGTGACCCCTCTAGTGATAACTAAAGCACTATACTGAGGAATCGGGACCTCCTTTCTCATGAATGTAGGTAGGAAGTGGCTGCATAAGACAGCAGCAGATCAGCAGTACTGACATGTAACAAAAGGTGACGATGAAAACGTTATGTAAGCTAAAGAGTAGCAATGTAATTGTATACACCTCATACACTATAATTCGGTTAGGGTTTACCTCTACCCAATCAACACTGATGGTAACTCTTCCAGCTGAGGTCTCCTTGCACAGTCCTTGGAACAGAAGACGTCTTGCCCAGTTTTGAATGGCGAGTCCCACAATTCCAGCTCTGAATTGGGAAATGAATTGTCCAGTAACTGGGAAAGCCCAGACACAGTTAAGCAGGTAATTAGGCCTTTCACAGGATTACAGAGGGATTAGACAGATGGTGTCACTGGGACAATGAGCAAGAAGTGAGGTGACACGCTGTCTCTGTGCTCTGTAGACCCATCATGGGGGACTCCAGCACCCAGCCTGGCCCCGGGGCCCCCAGGATAATGGAGGTGGCACTCCTGTTGGCTCTCTTAATTTACGGGATCCCTGCGCTGGAGTTTCCGGTGTACCGGATGCAGCAATACAGCCTGGAGGGACACACACACGGTAAGTGGATGAGGATGTGACCCATTGACCATGATGTGCCCCCCTCCCCCACCTGCACTGACCCCATGTGACAGGTCCTCGCTGTGTACTGATAAAGAAACCATAACAACCTCTGGTTAGGACTAGGTTCCCTCTAGTGATATAAAGATCTATATAGAGGAATCAGGACCTCCTTCCTCCTGCTGGTGACCCCTCTAGTGATATAAAGATCTATACAGAGGAATCAGGTCCTCCTTCCTCCTGCTGGTCTCCCCTCTAGTGATATAAAGACCTATATAGAGGAATCAGGACCTAGGGTTCCAGGGTGACAACACTGCTACTGCATATGTACAGTACAGGGTGCGTTGTCACCCCAGGACAGGAAATGTGTCACCGGCAGCATCATCAGGAAAAAACAAAAGGGGAAAAAGGCCTTAAAAAGAAAACTTGCACCAAAGCCAGTTATCCTGCACCCCTGGTGAGGCCATAGGGGACAACCCATTGGGCGGCTCTGATGGAATTTAGGATTCTTGGGAACTCTTTGCAGGTTGTAAGTCGGTCCAGGTGAATGCGGAGAGCCGGACGCTGGAGGCGGAGATACTGACCAGGCGCTGTGTGCTCATAAGAATCACAGAGTTCTCTGTACAGAGGTGGAGCCGGGTCCTGGCCCAGTCCGTGGCTGCGGTGCTGATTCTGGTCCCTTCTGATAACCCAGCACAGCTGCAAGGACCAGTACAGGTATGTCACCAGGAACGGGGGTGGGGGTAATAATCCGAGATATACCAATGGTGGCTGGATAGAGGGAATCTATAATCAATTGTTTATGGAAGAGTCTCCTCTAAAGGTGAGTTATCCTTTATCTATAATTGTATAATAATAATAGTATGTGACTGTGGGGGAGGGGACATTAGAGTGTAAGCTCCTCTGTACAGAGACTGATGTGACTGTGGGGGAGGGGACATCAGAGTGTAAGCTCCTCTGTACAGAGACTGATGTGACTGTGGGGGAGGGGACATTAGAGTGTAAGCTCCTCTGGTACAGAGACTGATGTGACTGTGGGGGAGGGGACATTAGAGTGTAAGCTCCTCTGTACAGAGACTGATGTGACTGTGGGGGAGGGGGCATTAGAGTGTAAGCTCCTCTGTACAGAGACTGAAGTGACTGTGGGGGAGGGGGCATTAGAGTGTAAGCTCCTCTGGTACAGAGACTGATGTGACCGTGGGGGAGGGGGCATTAGAGTGTGAGCTCTTCTGTACAGAGACTGATGTGACCGTGGGGGGAGGGGGCATTAGAGTGTAAGCTCCTCTGTACAGAGACTGATGTGACCGTGGGGGAGGGGGCATTAGAGTGTAAGCTCCTCTGTACAGAGACTGATGTGACCGTGGGGGAGGGGACATTAGAGTGTAAGCTCCTTTGTACAGAGACTGATGTGACCGTGGGGGGAGGGGACATTAGAGTGTAAGCTCCTCTGTACAGAGACTGATGTGACCGTGGGGGGAGGGGACATTAGAGTGTAAGCTCCTCTGTACAGAGACTGATGTGACCGTGGGGGGAGGGGACATTAGAGTGTAAGCTCCTCTGTACAGAGACTGATGTGACTGTGGGGGAGGGGACATTAGAGTGTAAGCTCCTCTGTACAGAGACTGATGTGACTGTGGGGGAGGGGACATTAGAGTGTAAGCTCCTCTGGTACAGAGACTGATGTGACTGTGGGGGAGGGGACATTAGAGTGTAAGCTCCTCTGTACAGAGACTGATGTGACTGGCTCAGTGTTCTCTGTACAGCACTATGGACTATATCAGAGCTATATGAATGAATAGGTTCTCCCAAGCCCAGAATTCTAAGCTTTACTAACCTGTTGTGTTCTGCACAGGAATTTGTGGAGCGGGAGATGGAAATCCTCAGGAATGAGACGCTCTTTCCCGTCTATTTTGCGGTAGAGAACACGGCTCTTCTGGAAATGTATGAAGAGACAAGGTCTGTGTCTCTATCTCTGACCTCCGCCTCGGCCTGGGAAGGTGAGAGTCAAATAGCTGTCACCATATTTCACAGGAAACAACCGGTAATGGCTAAAAAATGTTCAACCCAAACAACTGAGCTGGTTGATGGTAATGAATGAACAGGGTTGTCTTTGTGTTTGGCGCGTAGTATTCCATCATCTGAAAATCCCCAGGTTGTTTTTAATTAATTTTTTTTTTTGGGGGGGGGGGGAGGGGGTAGAATCTTTGCCATGACAGTTTTCAGTTTTTGAACATGAAACTTCGGCTGCAACTGTTTGTACATGAATAGGTTTTTATTGTGTCTGTAGCACTTATTATTGTTATTATTTATTATATACTTTTATTATATTATTAGTTATAAATATTCATATTATTATTTCATCTTATCAATCATATCCTGAAATCCCATCACGCCTGCTTTTCACCACCTCCCCAAAATACACAAGAAGGACGCCCCTTCTTAAAGGACATCTGATAATATCCAGAACAAGCTCTCTTTTAGAAAAAAAGCGAACTAATTCACTGACTATTTATACACTAATTGGCAAGTTAAAAAGCCACAGATGTGGGAAATTACCCTTTAATTGCCATTGTCACCCGTGTGTGTCACCTTGTGTGTCTGTACCGAGGCCGAACATTCCAGGGGGGGGAAACTTTTGATCCGGGCCATTTGGGTGATTTCTGTTATCATTATGATTGAAAAAGGAGCCAAACTATGTGATAATACATTATATTGCTAAAAGTGTTGTCCCCACCCTCCAAATCATGTGATTCAGGTGTTCCAATCCCCTCCCGATCATGTGATTCAGGTGTTCCAATCCCCTCCAAATCATGTGATTCAGGTGTCCCAATCCCCTCCCGATCATGTGATTCAGGTGTTCCAATCCCCTCCAAATCATGTGATTCAGGTGTTCCAATCCCCTCCCGATCATGTGATTCAGGTGTTCCAATCCCCTCCCAATCATGTGATTCAGGTGTTCCAATCCCCTCCATATCATGTGATTCAGGTGTTCCAATCCCCTCCAAATCATGTGATTCAGGTGTTCCAATCCCCTCCCGATCATGTGATTCAGGTGTTCCAATCCCCTCCATATCATGTGATTCAGGTGTTCCAATCCCCTCCATGGATACAGGTGTATACAATCAAGCCCCTAGGCATGCAGACGGCTTCTACAAGCATTGGTGAAAGAATGGGTCGCTCTCAGGAGCTCAGTGACTCCAAGCGTGGTCCCGTGATAGGTGGCCACCTGGGCAATAAGTCCATCCGTGACATTTCCTGGCTACTAAATATTCCACGCTCAACTGTTAGTGGGATTATAACAAAGTGGAAGCAACTGGGAACAACAGCCACTCAGCCACCAAGTGGTAGGCCACGTCACATGACAGGGCGGGGTCAGCGCATGCTGAAGCACACAGTGCGCAGAAGTCGCCAACTGTCTGCAGAGTCAATAGCTAAAGACCTCCAAACTTGGTGTGGCCTTCAGATGAAACCAACAACAGAGCGTAGAGAGCTTCATGGAATGGGTTTCCATGGCCAAGCAGCTGCATCCAAGCCTTAGATCACCAAGTGCAATGCAAAGCGTCAGATGCCGTGGTGTAAAGCACGCCGCCACTGGACTCTAGAGCAGGGGAGATATGTTCTCTGGAGTGACCAATCACGCTCCACTGTCTGGCAATCCGATGGACGTGTCTGGGTTTGGCAGTTGCCAGGAGAATGGTACTTGCCTGACTGCATTGTGCCAAGTGTAGAGTTTGGTGGAGGGGGGATTATGGTGTGGGGTTATTTTTCAGGGGTTGGGCTTGGCCCCCTAGTTCCAGTGAAAGGAACTCTTAAGGCGACATTTTGGACAATTTCATGCTCACAACTTTGTGGGAAGCGTTTGGGAAGAGTTTCCTGTTCCACCATGACTGCCCACCAGTGTACAAAGCAAGGTCCATAAAGACATGGAGGAGCCAATCTTTATTACATTTATTTTTTTATTACATTTATTTTTTATTACATTTATTTTTTTAAGATTTTGTTTTAACATACTGTGACCAGAGAAATACAATGTTGCCATAGTAATAGTAATATTGGGATTTTTACACATTATGATTGCTTATAGCAATACATTTCTTTGCTATAAGCAAGCTTTTTGTTATTTGAAAATCGATTCATTCAGTGTGTATTGTTATGCTGGGCTGTGATTGACCACAGCTAATCACAAGGTACAGATGGGATGTGATTGGCCCTGTCTGTACCATGTGATCACTGTGACCAATTACAGCTAGAAACACAACTGCACACAATGAATGGCATGAAAGAAAGCCATTCATTGTTTACAATTGTCATGTGATCTGCTGTGATTGGCCACAGCTAATCATCTGGAACAGTGGTACAGATGTGCTGTGATTGGCCCTGTCTGTATCATGTGATCACTGTGACCAATCACAGCTAGCAACACAGTTGTACACAATGAATGGCATGAAAGAAAGCCATTCATTGTTTACAATTGTCATGTGATCTGCTGTGATTGGTCAAAGCGATCACATGGTACCAGCAACAGGCCAGTACAGTGATCTGTCATTGGCTGTCTCTGGTAGACACAACAGGTGACAGATCACACCCGAGGCGCGTTCCAGGAGGTTGTCATATGACGTCCACCTGGAACGACGCAAGTCCTGCCCGGCCGTCATATTGCAATAGGCCGGGTGGGAAGTGGTTAAATAAAAGACAAGTTTTTGGCACGATCGATCATATTTTCAATATCAATGCCAAACTTTCACCATTTCTGCCAAGGGATTCAAACTTTTGAGCACAACTGTACCTTGGTCCTTGTACTGACCACCTCCTCAGGTGTACTCCTACCAGAGACTATATGCAGAGCCCTCTAACTCAAGATGCCCCACACTGGCAGGGCAGGGCTGGCACTTCCTATCTATGCCCCACCCTACTCAGCATTCTGGGGACCTCTAATGGCTACCTAGGAACTTCCACTGCCTATTCTTGACTACAAGGCTCACAACCCTAACTATGGAGATACCTAGTTGCCAATCTCTGGAACTACGCCGGGCACTGCTGTGCCCCAACCTTACACTACTTCTCTTATGTTTTTTCACTGAGTAGTATTTCTTGTATGGATAAAATATCAATAAAGCTTCTTTGAGAAAAAGCAAACCGCATTTGCTCATTGATACAAGCCCATAGCCCACCTACAAAGTCCCATCTGTGCCTTGCCAAGCTGTCCGAAGAGAAGTTTTCTCTGTGAATCTTAAGGATTTCAGGATTTTCATTCTTTTTTTGCCTCTTAGTCCTGTTCGGGATGGTTATGGGAAGCGGCTTCCAGATGACGACCAGCGAGGTACAAAGCAAACCCATCGTTCACCCCGTCCTCATCACCCTGGAGGTAGGTGGCCAACATTGTCACCACCCCCCATGTACAACATGTCGGTCTGGCTCTGCAGGAGCTGCCATCTTGTCCATTTACTCTCAGAAGCACATTAACATTCGTTTTTATGACTTGTACAGGGACAGTTGATGGGACGTGGTGGTGATGCTGCCGAGCTGCCTTCCGTTGTGATTGTCGCCCATTATGATTCATTTGGAGCCGCTCCGGTAAGTGGCCGACTGGGAAATAACATACATCATCCCAAAAGAAACTATAGGAAAAACTAAAGATAACATATATTATTATGCAGTCAACTGAAACCGTATAGTATTCCTCTTTACGCCTCCCCTAGCAGATACATATAAGGTTAAGTAGGAAGGTGAGGAGCTGGGTCAGCACAGACATGAACTAGAGACTCCTAGAACAGTAGATGTGTAGGGAAGGAGGGGCTGTGCTAGAGAATGGAATGTTCCTGCAGTAGTCAGAATTTCTAGCATTTATGGAAGTAAGCATTCCAACTACATTTTTTCTCTATGGTTTTACCTGCAATTTGTTTAAGACACGTTCTCTTTAAGTCTTCAAAACTCCTTTCCCCCCATAAAAATAGGTTCGACTGGAGTTTTCATGTTAAAACCTCATTCCAGGCAATACAGTTATCATATAAATCCCTCAGCAGCTGATAGAGGCAAGACCTGATGAGGCAGAGGAAGCTAGACAACTGATCTGCGGCCAGGAAGGAGGCCCTCCATTGCCAGAACTGGCATGCTAGAGCCTAATAGCATACAGTTTTTCCAGAAGACCCAGCTACTGTGTGGAGCTCATGCCCAATCCATCCCCTACCAGAGTGCTCCAGCTCCAGTGGGGTGGCCCTGGGTTCTTAGGATTCCTCCAGATGTTCACCGCTGTTACCAGAGCCACCCTGGACCTCACTGTTTAGGAAGAAAACTACAAGTAGCTGTGTTCTGAATTGTTTTAAGTAATGATTCCCAGCTTGACTTTCCTTTTTATAGCGTCCTATAGAGGCTATGCTATGTAACCACTTGTTTCTGCCTTGCTTGCCTACATCTTCAGGCCTGCTTTCCAATACGTGAAGATAACCAGCCAGCCGTGTAATGTTTCATCGGCTGGCAAATATCTAACAATTAGATCCTTCCTTAGTTGGGGTAGGAAGAGACTCCTTCTTATTATTACTGTAGGCTCCATTCTCACATGTACAACTACAAAGTTGTGCGACTTTGGATTACAACTTTGGTGCAACTTTGATGCAATTTTGGAAGGGTACGTCTTGGAGGCGACGTGTCCTTCTGCAAAGTTGACATTCAACATTCAAGTATGACTTTCGATGGTTTCTGATGGTTAACATTGAAGTCTATGGCCCTCAAGTTGCTTGAAAGGTGGACCAAAGTAGTGTATTATTATTATATTCGGAAGGGTACGTCTTGGAGGCGACTTGTCCTTCTGCAAAGTTGGAATGTTGCATGTAAAACATTCAAGTATGACTTTCATGCAGCTTTTGATGGTTAACATTGAAGTCTATGGCCCTCGAGTTGCTTGAAAAGTTGGACCAAAGTAGTGCAGTATTATTATTATACAGGATTTATCTTCTGTCCCTCCAATCTAAGCATTGAAAGTGTGATCTCTGTAACTTACAGTTGTGATGAGATAGCGATAACTCCAATCTTAGTTGAATATCACAGGCAGTGACTCAATCCAGAAGACATCTTGTAGATCTTGTGAAGTTTATTCGATAAACTGAGAGAATCTTACAACAATGAACATCGGATAGGTCAAAAGATCATAATGTGATCTGCTTCATGACATGTGGCTTAAAGCTGAAATGCCTTACTGGGAAAAGGGGTGGGGCTATCTATACAGCATGAACTAAACCAGAGGAAAGGGAGGAGCAGAGACAACATACAAAGAACACTTAAAGGCATATGACAGTCATGTGAAACATGACAATATATATAGCGCCAACAGTTTGCGTAGCGCTTTACAAAATGAAGGTAGAAATTACAGTCACAATACAATGTGGTACAAGCAGGGCTGCTGTTAGAAACCACAGGGCCCCATACAGCCAACCTGACAGGGCCCCCTCCAAAAAAAAACAAACAGTTGACTATGCTTTAGCTATGAATGAACTCAGTGAGTGACTGGTATTGATCGCTCATTGTGTTCATTCAGGAAAGGGGCTGGTGGCATATTTTCCGGACCCCTCCCCCATTCTCCATTCTGAAGGATCCTTTTGTGTGCTTGCAGCTGCCGGTGGGAAGGAGAGGAAGGTAGTTGGCAGCACTGTGGGGTGGGGGCACACAGGGGGGCCTGGGAAGCAAGGAGAAACATATGGTGCACAGGGAAGGTGATGGGTATGGTGGGGGGTATTACTGTAACCAGGGGCATATTTACTACAAGGCAAACAAGGCATTTGCCTAGGGCAGCATTTTTCAGGATGGCAGCACCATCCCCCAGGAAGAAGGGACACATGGGGCTTGGGGACCAGGTGGGATCTGAGAGAAGCTGCGGGCTGCTTGACTCTCATTCCTGGGGATGTCCAGAGTTGTGAATGTGAGTGTCTTTCTCTCTCTTGCTAGGAGGGGAATGGCTGGGGTATGGGGGTGATGGTAGTGGAAGGCTCTCTCGGGTGGGGGGGACAGGGGTGTAGTTGGTCAATATCAGGCTCTCTCCGGAGGGGGTGAATTTTGTGTTGCCTAGAGACTGCAGAAAGAGAC